CACATAAACTCCACGTAAAGGCCCTTTGCCATAAGCTGTTTGATTTCTCATCTTTTTTCACAGCTGTTACAAGAAGTAGGCACCGGCTTTCCAAAGAGATGTTTTGTAAAGTGTTTTCCTTGTTTTCCACCAGATCCTGCCCGTGTGGTTAACATGCCATCCGTCATCTACGTGGCCATTGGTATGCCTGGCTTCATCCGCTGTCCTATAGATGCCAACCCCCCTGTAACTCTGGTTAAGTGGAAGAAAGATGGCCTCCCTCTCCGGATAGACAAGGTGAGCGGGTGTGCTGCTGGCGCTTTTGTTCCACTCACTTCACTCCGCCTTAGACTGGAAATTAGTGCATAATTTCGTTAAAGCTCCATGTGACTTTACTTCCTGTAATTTTCAGTATTTCTCTTGTTTGAGTGAAAAGATTCAGTTGCCCTTAGCACTGAAAAAACAAAAAAACCTTGGCTTTAATTAAATGTCTATGTCAACAGATTTTCTGTTTTTTCCGTGTGTGAGGCTAGGTTTGGAATCAGTCTGTTACAAAATGTTACTCTTCCTTACACATCGTCAATCACTTTTCCATCCACAGTTCCCTGGTTGGAGCCAAATGGACGATGGGAGCATCCGTGTGGCAGAGGTGACGGAGGACTCTCTCGGCACCTATACCTGCATGCCTTACAACGCCCTGGGTTCTTTGGGATGGTCCTCTCCTGCTCCCCTGGTGCTAAAGGTACCTCCAAAGTCACTTTGCATACCCCATAGCAAAACAGCTGTGATGCCTCAAGGAGGCATTACAAACTCAAAGCAACTCATTATTGTTACCTAACCTGTGTTGGTGCTTCCCCCTGGACAGGAGCCTCCTAAATTCTCAGTGGTTCCTGGAGGGGAGTACAGGCAGGAGGCTGGGAGAGAACTGGTCATCCCCTGTGAGGCGGAGGGAGACCCCTTTCCCAACATCACATGGAGAAAGGTTAGACAACTCCCACACTTACCCTCTTTCTTCTGTATAAGATTTGGCAACCAGATTTCTTGAGTAACCACATTTGTACCCACAATTTGTTTTTAGTTACAGTCATTGTTTTCCATTCAGAAGTGCATTTCTGAAACCTGTTGCTCTGATTTTTATTTAAACTATACAGTATATCATTGTAGCATTTAATCACATCTAAATGATGTCTATAAAATATGCAATCAAGGGAAGATATTAGTTTCTCTCCATTGTTTTCTTGATTATCAGGCATGCTTTATCTGACTCATTGAATACTGTGTGATTAGCTTTTGTTTCTGTCTCCCAATTATGAAATGCATAATTCTGTCTAATTTCTCAAACTTAAAATACACTTTGAAAGCTATTATCTTGTTGGAGATGTGCAATTGTTGGTTGTTGAACAGCTGGCTAGCCCCTTTGCTGTTTTTAGAGTTTTTACATTTGAATGACATGTACCAACCCTTTGTGCCCCCTCTCCATCTCTACTTCATTGGCTGACTTTGTCTTTCATTGGCTGGATGGACTGCAGGTAGGCAAGCCCAGTAAAAGCAAGCACAATGTTCTGCCCCGGGGCAGCTTACAGTTCAAGTCACTCACCAAGGAGGACCATGGGGAGTGGGAGTGTGTCGCCACCAACGTTGCCACGAGCATCACTGCCAGCACGCACGTCCAAGTAATAGGTACCCAACATAAACACTACTTCACAAACACATTTACATATATAAACCTACACATATTACATGTATTACATGAGAATATCTAGAGTAGTTGTCACGGAGGTGATCTCTGGGCCCATAGATCTCGGCCTCTGTTACGGGTTGTATAGCTTCATTGTGGTTGATTGTGTTCACCTGGTGCCCTGTGTTGTCTCCTCCCCCCTCACCTGTGTCTTGTTGACTGATTAGTGTGTGTATTTAGGTTCTGGGGTTTTTCTGTTTGGGAGAGGTGTGTGAGATCCTTGTGGCTGGTGACTGTGCTCACGGGAACAGCAAGATTGAGGCTGTGTCCTGTGTTCGAATTTAATAAATGCCCACAACGGGTTATATTTTTGGCGTTCTGCTTCCTTGCTTGGTCGGGCCGCTCAATTGTCGGCTTCACAGTAGTGCAGTAATTGACAGTTCTCTACGTCCCACCCACTGAGTTACTGTTGCTATGCCTGCCTGTTACATTGTACTATATGGCACATTCAGTTTAACATGGGCAGTGTACATTATTTACACAATGTGTCCTTGACTTCAGAAAGAAGGAGAAAAGAGCAACATCACACTTCTAGCCAATAAAGGAAAACTGATGCTTGCAGCTGTTATCTGATGTAGCTAGCTGGCTAATCAAGCTAATGTTAGCTTAATTAGCTAGCTTGCGATGGAAAAAGCAATCCTCTGGTTGACTTTATAACGCTTCAAAATGACTCATCAACACAAAATCATGTTCAAGGGCCTCAAATATAGCTAACTACTGGCATCACGCAAAAAAAACGAAGGCTAAAGCCAGTGGTGTAGTGGGGATTTTTTTACTGGGGGGACGCTATTTTAATTAGCTCCAAACAATGCCACACAAGTGCGCACAAAACGGGCAGACAGGTCCACAGAAACTACCGGTATGCTTAGTCCTACTTTAGTTACTGTACTGCAAAAAGCAGACGGCGCTGCGCTCAACACACACACAGACTCAAAACCATGGACAAACTGGCACATAAATGACATAAACAATTTTTTTTTCTCTCTCTCTCTTTAAAACTCATAACAAACAAACAAAATTCCCAAAGTTGTCCTGATATTAACTTATTAAATAAACAAAACGAAAAATATAGCCTACTTATGCAAACAACATTGAATCTGGACTTGAATGATATTCTTTTTAGAAAAGAAGTCAAGTAAAAAATGTTTGCCTGCCATTATAGAGCTTTTTCGTTAGTATTCTTGAGGGAAAGAGCTGCCGCAAAATCGGCAGCTCTTCACTGACACACCCCCACCCCGCCGCGGGGTCACAAGCGTGATGACGAATCATACTTTTTAAGGAAATCGTTTTTATTTTTTATTATAATTACTGTGAATTTTTTTTTCATTATTACAACAAATACACACTTGCAACGCATAACACTGGCAATGATTTTATATTTATTAGACTATTGAAAAAAAGATCATGCTCCAAATAAGCGGGGGTACGGCGTACCCCCGCGTCCAACGCCCACTACACCACTGGCTAAAGCTACAGCTGAAACAAGCTATTCTTGTCTTTCATGTATCTAGTATATTGTTATCTGACTGTTATGATCAGACAAGCTATCCACATCCTGTTTTCTTAGCTTACATTATTTAGCAAGACAAAGGATACATGCATGCTTTCTTATTGCTATCGTTTTTCAATTGATACATTTCATTTTTATGTTACAAGGGAAAAGACTTGTAGGATGAGGTTACATTGGGTTGCTGGCTTGTTCCATCTCTCAAGTTAAATACATGTAATGGATCACAGCAAGACTGCTCTGTGACTAATGTGCCCTTTTAACTACACACCCTCACTGCCTCCCCTCTCCACAGGCACAAGCCCCCACGCCCCCACCAGCATCCACGTGGTGGCTTCCTCTACCTGGGCCAATGTGTCCTGGGAGGTGGGGTATGACGGAGGCTTCCAGCAGACGTTCTCAGTCTGGTATGGCCATGTGTGAGTCATCCCAGCATGCTTTGCTTCCTGCTTCTTCTTTTTCTTCCAATACTTCCTCTGTTGTTTCTGAAAATGTCTTTTTTCCGGGTTGTGTTCAGAACAGTTGTTAAAACCTTGAGATCGAAATACATGGAGATCGAGGTTGAGTGAGTTTTCATCTCTAATCTTGGATTTTCTGCAGGAACTCATAAAGACAGTTCCAACAAAACTGAACATGACCCAAAATTGTCTTTGCTGCTGCTGCTGCTGCTACTGCTGCTGCTGCTGCTGCTGCTGCTGCCGCTGCTTCTGCTACTGCTACTGCCGTCAAACTTTAATTAACATTATTCATTTAAATGGAGGCCTATAGTCTCAGTAAGCACTATGCATCTGTATCATATAGGGACATAAACTACAGCATATATAATATTAAAGGTGGGGTAGGTAATTTTGGAGAAACCAGCTCGAGTGCGCTAGAATTTGAAAATACACAACCGTAAAAAATCTGCCACTTCCTTACAGAGCCCCTCCTCCAACACACACGAACGCGCACATGACCAATGAGGGCACAAGATAAGTTTGTGCACAGATGGAAGGCTGACAGGCAGGTAGGCCATACAGTTATTTTAGCCGGGCCGGCTCAGATGATTGGTCGTGCTTTTTACAGAACTACGGCTTCCACAGATGACATTTTTTATGGATTTTTTGTCAAAGCACTTAAGATATTCATTGCTATCGGGATGTTAAGAGCATTCCATGGAATATAACAAAAAGTGTATCTCGAGCCGTTTTCTCAAACTTACCTACCCCACCTTTAAACTCCTTTAAGATTTGCTTGATTCTGAGAAAGTGTTGCTTTAACCTTACGTCACAAAACTAATCCCATATATTCACAGCAATCATATTCTGTGAAAGAAAATGTGACATTTTTGACAAATAGTCATAAGCATTGAAATAAGTGTCCTTTACTTTTATAAAAGTCTTGACACATTGTTGTCAAAAGATATCATTACAAGTAATCCCACACAAAATCTTACTGATAAATTATAATTTGTTTGTAATATATTGGATATGTTCACCTTGTATCTCACAGTTTATCCAATGGTTTAAGCTTCAGAGATGCATTATGTTAAACGTTTTTTAATGCAACACATAGGCCTACATGTTAAAATGTAAACAGTTGAACAATAGAGTGGAGTAACACATTATGCATTTGTATAGTGGAGTATAACTATTTGTTTAAATACTGATACTACAAGTAACTCAATATTGTATTTAAGTACAGTTTCTGAGTTTATTTACTGAGTTTCACTCCCCTACTGACTAAAACAGACATCCATGTCTTCAGGCAGGTAGGCCGTCCCCTGGTGGCTGTATGGTGTAACGTCACAAAGCCATACTGAACAAAGATGGTGTCAATCACAGCTGTGAGAACATAAACACTTTCATTGTTTTATTTATTTTAACTAGTCTCGTCAGAGCAGCAGTTTTCGATCTTCGCGTCGTCAGGTTTGTATTCCGAGTTGATATTATCGTTTATTCATCTTATCCCTGGAAGCAAATCCTATATGTCTAGTGGGGTAAGCATGCTAACCGGTAGTTAGCAGCAGGCCTCGCTCAGGGTTTGTTTTCTCCGCCAGCAGGCCTCTCTCAGCCGGCTACTATAGCTAGCTAACAAGCCAACAGTCTCTCCTGTCGACCGGTTGCAAGCAAGCTAAAGCAAGCTAACAGTTATCACAATACTTCCAGTTCCAGCCCTGCTGTATGTGTGCTGTCTGCTCAGGTCTGCTTCTCTTCAGGCTGTTTGAATTGAGTAGTGACTATTGTCATGTAACTAACGATACTCCGCTAAAATAACGATATCTTTTTTTAAACCATCATGTTCTTAAGTCATGATGCATAGCATGAACTACATCTTTGTGGACGTGTGTGCACTTTATGGAGAAATTAATGCAAATGACAGCAGCCTTCTCGCTTCCTCCCATTTAGGCGAAAATATGTATGAATTCAAAATAAAAGGAAATGTTTAGTTTAACTCTTAACAAACATAAACATAAACTCATAGAAGACTACAATACAAAAAATACAAACAATATAATAAATAAGTAGGTGTGAAAACGCATATTTAAAAGGTTACATTATTTTGTCATTGCAGGTTTTTTCATTTGTTTATTTTCAGTAGAGTATGGGTCAAAAGACACGGCCGTATGGGACCCCAGTATTTAAGACTTTGTTTCTGTTTGAATAAGAGCATTTTCAACATATTGTTAGATTGTACAATTTTGCCAAATCTTGCAGTGTTCCATAGTCGCAGCCCTGCATTCCAAAAAAGAAGACGAGTACTTCACCATGAGCTCAGATGATGGTGAGACCACACACACACTCACACACTCACACACACACACACACACACACACACACACACACACACACACACACACACACACACACACACACACACAGTCAGTGCATGGTGTTTAACTGTCCCTTTACCTGGTGCAGGTGAGATGGAGAACCAGGCTGAGCTGGAGGAGAAGACAAGGCTCATCAATCAGGTGTTGGAGCTTCAACACACTTTAGAGGGTACCACACACACACACACACACACACACACACACACACACACACACACACACACACACACACACACACACACACACACACACACACACTTTTTTCCACTTGTTGTGTGGAACCCTCTGAGTTTAAAAATGAGCTTTCGGGCTATAATGAATTCAGCTTCAACAAGCGTGGTCCCAGTCAGTTTAGCAGGGGTTTCACTTTTTCTGGGTCCAGGAAGAAGCTGCTCTCCCCCGCAATCAGTGTTGGGCAAGTTACTTCCAAAATTTAATATATTACATATTACTTATTACTCTCTTTTGAAAGTAATAATTTACATTACAATATTACTGTCTCTGAAATGTAATGAGTTACACTACTTTTTAGTTACTTTTTAGTTTCTTTCACCAAAATAACCGCAAAAGAATAGCTAGGTATTTTAAATTCTAAAATGTAGTTTAGTGCAGCTCATTATGCATCCAGTGAAGGACAATGTGGTATAGCATAACAACTGTGTAGGCCACTGGCGGCACATATCAGACCCGGGCCGGGGGGCGGGGCCACATGACCGGGCCCTTTAAACCCAATAAAGCTTGACAAAAATATCGGGAGTCCGGGGTGGTAATCTGACGCTCGTGTGTAAAAAGTCGCTCAGTCAGTAAGATTACAATTTAAAACAATGTTTGAAAGAAAAGTAACTAAAGAAAAGGTGTAATATTTAAGATCTCGTTTCTGCAAAGGGTATAGAAACTAAATATATATCAGAGATAATAATGATATACCATGACATAAAGTCCAACAAACCACAAGGACAACGAAAACATAGCCTAATAAAATGACTACATTTCTGACACACCAATCACCATGGACAGCCAGCCGCCACCATAAGAGCACAGCAGTGTAAAATTGGCACAAATTAAA